TTGTTGATATATGAAAAAAAAATAACAGTTGTATTTATTCTTGTTCACCATATAATAGTTACTTAGTATTTTATTATAATTTTTTTGTCATATAATATCAGTATTATTATTTATAAAAGTTTATAGAAGTAGTATTCTTCTTCTTTTTTATTTTATGAAGTGAAAAATATTTAATGTGCATTAATATTATTTATTAGTATAATTAATTTAAAGTATGTAAAATATTTAAAATAAAATAATGTGTATATCTATTTTACAGAATATACGCACATGATTTGAGCTCCTAGCCGGTTGAACGCCCTTGAGACCTTAAAAAACTCTCACATCGAAGGAATTTTTAGGTGAATAGCCTCCGATTCTTAAGTTATCACTTGTAGAAGATGAAATGCAGTATGTATGTAGTGAATAATTGAGAATGTAATGTGACAATGGACATACATCACTTCCTTATAGAGGGAGATGATACCTTGTTGTCAAAGACTGCCTGAGTAGGTTTCCAGCCCGTTCGTACTGCCAGATCTATCTGAACAACGTAATTATGTTTGGCTACATGGCCCTTTACATCCTCGTGTGGCCCTTATCCTATTAATATTTCATCTTATCCATTAACCTTTCTCATTAGACCGCCTAATGGTGTGACCAGCTCAAATCTCGTCGAGGTAGAATGCTAACCATATCGAGCTTAAGTGGTCCTTCTGGTCGATCACACGACCATACATACCTTCATGTCGAGTTTCTAACAGGTCATCCGAGGGCCCTATTTCGACCTGTCATTGTCCCTTTGAATTCCTCACGTCCTCTTCAACCCGAAAACTCCCCATCGACGCTCGAACTTTCTACTGCCCTGCTTCACCCAACTGGTTCGTTCGGCCCGGTCAACCGGTTTATTGGCTTTTCTATGTGTGGTGTGGTATTCCATATCATATTATGCATATAATTAATTCAAATACAATAATATTCACTATGATGAATTAAATGTGCATTTTCTTATTACCTAAATATGCATTGTGTAAATTTAATTTAAATATGACATCTTTGTAATACGGATAAACTAAATATGTATTTCGTATGAACTAAGTATCCATAATAAATTTATCAAATATGCATTTATGTATATATTTAATTTAAATATGACAAATATGCACCGTGGATGAACTAAATATGCATTTCGTATGAACTAAATATGCATGATGAATGCTTCATTATGTATATATATTTAATTTAAATATAATCAACATTTTGATAACCGAGCCGGCCATCGAACCGGTCAAGCTACTGGTTCATTGGTTCACTGGTCGAACCAGTGATTGAACCAGTATTTAATTTATTAGTAATTTTAAATATTATACAATATTTTAAGTAATAAAGTTTGTATATAAAAAATATTATTGATTAATATAAATATATAAACTAATTGACAAAATAATTTATAAATATCTAGAAATATAATTCGCGTATATTGTAGATACATTTAATTATATTAAAACTAACTATTGTTTCACATATTTTATTAACTATTAATTATTCAATAATTAAACTCGAACAATTCTATATACCATCAAAAGAGGCCCACATGTATGTAATGTACAAAGAGGAAGCAATTAGGGCACAATTTTATCGTCCCATTAAGCCGTGTTTGTTTCTTAAATCTTTTTTTTTTTTTTTTTTTTTTTTCATTTGCTAACTATGCCAATCATGGCCGAGCTCTTTTATTTCTACACCATTAGAGGGACTATCCACTCATGCCGGTCCAGAGTGCTCTGGTCGGAAGCAAGCACTATCAAGATCGGAAGAGTTCTCTACACATGCTTTTTGTATTTTGATTTTTCCTTTTTTATTTTTTAACTTTTTAAATTTTGCAATGGATATGAAAAAGGTCTATGTTCTTGGACTTTCAGATTTTGTATTAATTGGCAAAAAAATAAGAAATGCTTCGTAAGATCCGCAGAGCCGTTCGAACCAGTACAAGTTCACCGGTTCAACCGGTTCATATCCGGTTTGGGAGTCAGACGGCTCAATTCCTCAAATCGAACCAGTACAATGGCCGGTTCCTGGTTGAACCGGTCGGTCTGGTCCGATTTTCAAAACCATGAATATAGCAAGTACGCAAAATAGATGAACCAAATATGTATTTCGTATGAACTAAATATGAAAAATGAATAGACTAAATATGAATTATGCATATATTTAATTTAAATATAATAAATATCCATTATAGATTAACTAAATATGTCTTTCATATGAACTAAATATGCATAATTAAGGATTGAATTTGCATTATATATATATATTTAATTTAAATATAACAAATATGAATTATGAATCAACTAAATATGCATTTCTTATTACCTAACCATGCATAATGAATGAACAAAATATGCATTATCTATATATTTAATTTAAATATAACAAATATGCACAATAGCTGAACTAAACATATATTTCATATGAACTAAATATGCATAATGAATGAACAAAATATGCATTATGTATATATTTAATTTAAATATAACAAATATGCACTATGGATGGATTAAAAATGCATTGTATATGAACTAAATATGCACAATGATGAGTATATATTTAACTTAAATATAACAAATTATGTTGTTGACATCCGAGATAAAAAGCTAGGGGTTTAATACTGCGAGGGATAGATCAAGTCCGTGTGAAGAGTAAAACCCTGGGTCGCATCCTTACTCGGTACCAGGTCGGCCCCTCGAAAATGAAGGCCAATCCGGAGAAGAAAATGCAGAAAATCACAACGACCATCCGACCTCAAGGCATCGAAGAGGTTAAATTGCTAAAGCGCACAAAGAAAAAGAATATTATATAATTCCACTTGCAACCTCATGATGACCGATAGGACGTGCCCACATGCCTTACTAACTTATGTCTTCTAGGTCCCTAAGGAAGCATGTCCGCATTAATGTCTTCTATTCAGTATTAAATTGATGTAACCCGATGAACAGTAACCGAACATATCTTGCTATAAATATTCCTAGGAATCCATTTAGAAGAGACAAAAAATTCTCTCTGTAAAAGATATAAATCCCTCTTTTAATACCGTAGTAAATATGTGTACTAGAGCTCATATTCCCTAAAGTTCGACCTCATTACTGCTCTCACTTGTCCAAACCCATTATTAATTATCTTTATAGCTTAACCACCTAATCGCAACTGACGAGGTCGCCGCCTTGAAAAAGAAGATTATCGAACTGGAAGCCCGACAAAAGTATAGCGGGAGGTTGCCACTGTCACCTCCCGTGACATCCGACAGACGAGTCATCGACACAACCTCCTCACTCTATAAAGACATTCTCCATGAGTAACT